ATACGTGGTGTTGGATCTGCTGCCATTAACATGTGCTTGGTAGCATCTGGTTGTGTCGAGGCCTATTATGAGATTGGGATCCACTGTTGGGATGTGGCAGCTGCAGCAGTCATAGTCTCAGAAGCAGGAGGAGTTCTCATGGATGTCGAAGGTAAAGAGAGCTCTTGGAAGTTACATCATTTGAATGAGTGTTATTTTAGTATTAGTCAGCTTTTATTTTTATATATTTGAGTTTTAATTTTAAATTTAGGTTTTAATAATGTTGTTATGTGCTTCTGTCATGTTTATTATTTTTTTTTAAATATTCTTTTTAGCTTTTATTTATTTTTATTTCAGTAATTTTAGTAATTCACTTTAAACTTATTTTATGTCAGTGCCAAGGCAACATTTATAATTTTTAAGTTTCTTCATCTTCATGGGGAAGTCGTGGCCTAATGGTTAGAGAGTCGGACTCGTAACCCAAAGGTTGAGGGTTCGAGTCTCGTACCGGCAGGGATTGTAGGTGGGGGGGGGGAATGTACAGCGCTCTCTTCCACCTTCAATACCACGACAAGGCACCGAGTGGCTGCCCACTGCTCCGGGTGTGTGTTCACTGCTGTGTGTGTGCACTTTGGATGGATAAATGCAGACATGTCACGTCACGTCACTCCCACTCACTAATATTTATTTTTTCTTTTGTTTCAGATTTATTTCAAATGACAATTTTTAATAATTTCAGTTTTAGTTAATAATAACACTATTAAACCAATATAATTTCTCAAATTTTGTCAGTGATTTGTTTTTCCAAAATGTGTAATATTTAAGAAATTACTTTTAATTTGATTGAATTTGAATATGATTGAATGTAATATTAACTTTTTTTTTTCCTTTCAAAAATGTCCTCAGGTGGACCGATGGATCTGATGTCTAGAAGAGTTTTGGCAGCTAATAACAACATAATTGCAGAAAGAATCATTAAAGAGATTGAGGCATTTTCAGCTGTTAGAGATGATGAACCCGTAGACCCTATCAAATAAACCTTGTTTTAAAGAAAAGCCCCTGTGCTATAGAAGTCTGGTACATTACATTTGAAATAATGTATCAATATTTAATTTCTCTGCCATCTTTTATATTGTGTAAATGATTTTTGTCTCCCGATATTGAACAATGTATTATAATAATGTTTAAAGCTATGTGCAAACGGTAAAAACAAACATTTTCCCGCGTTGAGCTACTGAAAGTCAATGTTCATTCATTCAACTGTAAGGTTTTTTTATTAGTAACATACAAAAGTTCAATAAACAATAAGTTAATAATGAGTAACTTACCTCTGAGACACAATATTTGTCCATTTTTACTCCCTCGAAGGAAATAATTTCAAACAATGCCAACTTTTCTATAGAAACTAACCGAAGCTTGCTCGTAAACTCTCTAGATAACGTCATACGCAAATTAGCATAATTGCGGCGTCATTACGTTACGTTACAGCCTAGTATCAGTTCTTTACATTTGTCCAGTAGCCTCTCACTGCAGAACACAAGATCCAGGGGGCGTGGTTAGAGCCACATCTAGGGGGTGGAGATTAGTGACGGGAAGTTCGGATCATTTTACCGACTCGGACTTGAGTCTCGTTCAGCAAAATGAGCGAATCTTTTTTCGAGTCATTTCGTTCATTTTAGCAAAATAGAATTAAAATGTTACGTGTTCGCGTCTACTACTTACACAAACGTTGATCACACTACAAACAATACAAAACTGCTATAAGAAACAGAAAAGATTAATTCATTGTTTACCTGGGTCTTCAGTCTATGATTAGCTCACCTCGCCTCTTATCTGACAAGTCTTCGCTTTGAGTTGTTCGTTCATCACGTGACAGCCCCATAAACTTTACTCTTACAGTTAGCTACGTTATGCGTTTCTGGTCTCAAATTGTAGCTTTTTACTTCTTACAGTTTATAAATATGTGAATTTCTGTCATTATGGTTCTTTTCCATAACACTGAATGTTGTAACAAAGGTAATAAACAGTTGGTTATTATTATTAAGTCTCTTTCCAGCTCAGACTGCATTGGTTAAAGTTTATGGGTTTGTCACATGATGAACGAACGACTCAAACCTGAAGACTCGAGAGATGAACTAATCAATTCTCTTTCCGGCTCAGACTGCATTGGTTAAACTTATGGGACTGTCACGTGATGAACGAACGACTCTTTTTAGACACTTTTTAGGAACAAAGGTTGCTTTATTGGCAACACTAAATTTCGAGCACCCATACAAGTCGTTCCTGAATTAATCAGTCAAGTGAATGAATCACCTTAGCATAACGATTTAACCTGCAGAAAGAGCTGCTGTCTGGAGCGCCTAAACACCGACAGGTGGGGATACTGAAAAAGTGAAGAGTCCTAATGCCAGCTCACTTGAAACAATGCTCAGCCAAATAACTTGAAATACAAAACAAAAGCACAAATATTCCTGGCGGCTGAAAATACACACAAAAACTTGACAGGCTTGGTTTTAACTGGTTTGCTCTTTTGTAAACAAAGAAATTAGACAATAAATGTTTTATTTTCACAGTTATTCACACAGTAAAATAATCATATCAGCAACACATATCCTCTCTCACACCTATTATGGATCATGCTAATACCCACTTCACAAGGGCCAAAAGTGCAAACTTGTGCTCAGTATAATGCATATACTGTATAAAGCTGATTTAATACACAATTAATATAAAACAGTTAGAACAAGTTCGAGTAGATCCTCACTGCCAACAATTAGAGAACTTGAGTAGTTTTGAAAGCCACAAGCTTTAACAGAAGTAAGCTTATGTGTAGTGGCTATATTAAGCATGATACAGAAACTTCAGTGATCATATCGTAAAAATGGATAAAAGTCTTGCATCATTGCCGGTTGCTCTGCTCATTCTTAAGCATAATTTCCCTCTGGCATTACATTAAAGGGGTCATATGATGCGATTTCAATTTTTCCTTTCTCTTTGGAGTGTTACAAGCTCTTGGTGCATAAAGAAGATCTGTAAAGTTGCTAAGACTAAAGTCTCAAATCTCAAAGAGATATTCTTTATAAAAGTTAAGAGTCAACCACACCTACCTAAAACGGCTCGTTCTAACACACCCCCACATATCTACATCACTATGTGGGAAGATATGCATAACGCCGCCCAAATGTTCACACAAAGAAAGAAGGTGTAACTTTTATTCTGGCTGTAGTATTGTTGCTGCCGCCATGTTGTGAAGGCGCTGTGTGATTCGTTGTGAACGCGAAACCACTTTGTTTGGCCTTCCAAAAGAGGACGTTGGTTGCTGAGGAAATATTACAACTTTGCGCTGTGGATCGCCGGATCGGCTTTCACCGTGGACGAAGCGGAGTCCAGCCCGGGGTTGTCACATGTGGTTGCCGCAAGCCCTCCGGACATTCCTTCGTCGAATCCGCCGGCTGCGGCGTTCTCAAGCCCATCAGCCTCTGCTCACTTTAGCAACCGGCCTCTGCTCACTCTAGGCCGCGGTGTGTGACGCTGTGTTTCGTTGTGAAAGCGAAACTACTTTGT